GCGTCCATAGAGGCAAGCGACCCTAGAGATAGGCGCCCCTAGAGATAGGCGCCCTCAGAGATCGGCGTCCCTAGAGATGGGTGTCCATAGAGATAGGCGCGAGGCACCCATAGAGATAGGCGCCCATAGAGATAGGCGCCCCTAGAGATAGGCGCCCCTAGAGATAGGCGCCCATAGAGATAGGCGCCCATAGAGATAGGCGCCCCTAGAGACAGGCGCCCCTAGAGATAGGTGCCCCTAGAGATAGGCCCCCTTAGAGATAGGGGCCCCTAGAGATAGTCGCCCCTAGAGATAGTCACCCATAGAGATAGGCGCCCCTAGAGATAGGCGCCCCTAGAGATAGTTTCCCATAGAGATAGGCGCCCATAGAGATAGGCGCCCTTAGAAATAGGAGCCCATAGAGATAGGCGCCCCTAGAGATAGGCGCCCCCAGAGAAAGGCGCCCCTAGAGATAGGCGCCCATAGAGATAGGCGCACCTAGAGATAGGTGCCCTCAGAGATAGGCGCCCCTAGAGTTTGGCGCCCATAGAGATAGGCGCCTCTAGAGATAGGCGCGAGGTGCCCATAGAGATAGGCGCCCATAGAGATAGGCGCCCCTAGAGATAGGCGCCCATAGAGATAGGCGCCCATAGAGATAGTCGCCCCTAGAGATAGGGGCCCCTAGAGATAGGCGCCCCTAGAGATAGGCGCCCCTAGAGATAGGCGCCCCTAGAGATTGGCGCCCCTAGAGATAGGCGCCCACAGAGATAGGCGCCCCTAGAGATAGGCGCCCCTTGAGACAGGCGCCCCTAGAGATATGCGCCCATAGAGATAGGCGCCTCTAGAGATAGACGCCCATAGAGATAGGCGCCCCTAGAGATAGGCGCCCATAGAGATAGGCGCCCCTAGAGATAGTCGCCCCTAGAGATAGGGGCCCCTAGAGATAGGCGCCCCTATAGATAGGCGCCTCTAGAGATAGGCGCCCATAGAGGTAGGCGCCCATAGAGATAGGCGCCCATAGAGATAGGCGCCCATAGAGATAGGTGCCCATAGAGATAGGCGCCCCTAGAGATAGTCGCCCCTAGAGATAGGGTCCCCTAGAGATAGGCGCCCCTATAGATAGGCGCCTCTAGAGATAGGCGCCCATAGAGGTAGGCGCCCATAGATATAGGCGCCCCTAGAGATAGGCGCCCCTAGAGATAGGCGCCCATAGAGATAGGCGCCCATAGAGATAGGCGCCCATAGAGATAGGCGCCCTTAGGGATAGGAGCCCATAGAGATAGGCGCCCCTAGAGATAGGCGCCCCTGGAGATAGGCGCCCCTAGAGATAGGTGCCCGTAGAGATAGGCGCCCGTAAAGAGGGGCGCTCATAGAGATAGGCGCCTCTAGAGTTTGGCGCCCCTAAAGAGAGGTGCCCATAGAGATAGGCGCCCATAGGGATAGGCGCCCATAGAGATAGGCGCCCATAGAGATAGGCGCCCCTAGAGATAGGCGCCCCTAGAGATAGGCGCCCCTAGAGATAGGCGCACATATAGACAGGCGCCCCTAGAGATAGGCGCCCATAGAGATAGGCGCCCCTAGAGACAGGCGCCCCTAGAGATAGGTGCCCCTAGAGATAGGCGCCCCGAGAGATAGGCCCCCTTAGAGATAGGGGCCCCTAGAGATAGTCGCCCCTAGAGATAGTCACCCATAGAGATAGGCGCCCTTAGAGATAGGCGCCCCTAGAGATAGTTGCCCATAGAGATAGGCGCCCATAGAGATAGGCGCCCTTAGAGATAGGAGCCCATAGAGATAGGCGCCCCTAGAGATAGGCGCCCCCAGAGAAAGGCGCCCCTAGAGATAGGCGCCCATAGAGATAGGCGCACCTAGAGATAGGTGCCCTCAGAGATAGGCGCCCCTAGAGATGGGCGCCCATAGAGATAGGCGCCCCTAGAGATAGGCGCCCCTAGAGATAGGCGCCCCTAGAGATAGGCGCACATATAGATAGGCGCCCCTAGAGATAGGCGCCCCGCGCCCCTAGAGATAGGTGCCCATAGAGATAGGCGCCCATAGAGATAGGCGCCCCTATAGACAGGCGCCCCTAGAGATAGGCGCCCCTAGAGATAGGCGCCGCCCCTAGGGATAGGCGCCCCTAGAGATAGGCGCCCCTAGCGAGGCGCCCCTAGAGATAGGCGTCCATAGAGGCAAGCGACCCTAGAGATAGGCGCCCCTAGAGATAGGCGCACATATAGACAGGCGCCCCTAGAGATAGGCGCCCATAGAGATAGGCGCCCATAGAGATAGGCGCCCCTAGAGACAGGCGCCCCTAGAGATAGGCGCCCCTAGAGATAGGCGCCCCTAGGGATAGGCGCCCCTAGAGATAGGCGCCCCTAGCGAGGCGCCCCTAGAGATAGGCGTCCATAGAGGCAAGCGACCCTAGAGATAGGCGCCCCTAGAGACAGGCGCCCCTAGAGATAGGCACCCCTAGAGATAGGCGCACCTAGAGATAGGCGCCCCTAGAGATAGGCGCCCCTAGAGGTAGGCGCCGCTAGAGATAGGCGCCCCTAGAGATAGTCGCCCCTAGAGATAGGAGCCCATAGAGATATGCGCCCCTAGAGATACGCGCAATAGAGATACGCGCCCATAGAGATAGGCGCCCCTAGAGATAAGCGCCCCTAGAGATAGGTGCCCCTAGAGATAGGCGCCCATAGAGATAGGCGCCCATAGAGATAGGCGCCCATAGAGATAGGCGCCCCTAGAGATAGGCGCCCATAGAGATATGCGCCCCTAGAGATAGGCGCCCCTAGAGATCGGCACCCCTAGAGATAGGCGCCCCTGGAGATAGGCGCCCCTATAGATAGGTGCCCCTAGAGGTAGGCGCCCCTAGAGATGGGCGCCCATAGAGATTGGCGCCTCTAGAGATTGGCGCCCCTAAAGAGAGGCGCCCATAGAGATAGGCACCCATAGAGATAGGTGCCCCTAGAGATAGGCGCCCTTTGAGATAGACGCCCATAGAGATAGGCGCCCCTAGAGATAGCCGCCCATAGAGATAGGCGCCCATAGAGATAGGCGCCCCTAGAGATAGGCGCCCCTAGAGATAGGCGCCCATAGAGATAGGCGCCCAAAGAGATAGGCGCCTCTAGAGATTGGCGCCCCTAAAGAGAGGCGCCCATAGAGATAGGCGCACATAGAGATAGGCGCCCCTAGAGATAGGCGCCCCTAGAGATAGGCGCCCATAGAGATAGGCGCCCATAGAGATAGGCGCCCATAGAGATAGGCGCCCCTAGAGTTAGGCGCCCATAGAGATAGGCGCCCCTAGAGATAGGCGCCCATAGAGATAGGCGCCCATAGAGATAGGCGCCCATAGAGATAGGCGCCCATAGAGATATGCGCCCATAGAGATAGGCGCCCCTAGAGATAGGCGCCCATAGAGATATGCGCCCCTAGAGATAGGCGCCCCTAGAGATAGGCGCCCCTAGAGATAGGCGCCCCTAGAGATAGGCGCCCATAGAGATAGGCGCCCCTAGAGATAGGCGCCACTAGAGATAGGCGCCCCTAGAGATAGACGCCCATAGAGATAGGCGCCTAAAGAGATAGGCGCCTCTAGAGATTGGCGCCCCTAAAGAGAGGCGCCCATAGAGATAGGCGCACATAGAGATAGGCGCCCCTAGAGATAGGCGCCCCTAGAGATAGGCGCCCATAGAGATAGGCGCCCATAGAGATAGGCACCCATAGAGATAGGCGCCCCTAGAGATAGGCGCCCATAGAGATAGGCGCCCCTAGAGATAGGCGCCCATAGAGATAGGCGCCCAAAGAGACAGGCGCCCATAGAGATAGGCGCCCCTAGAGATAGGCGCCCATAGAGATAGGCGCCCATAGAGATAGGCGCCCCTAGAGATAGGCGCCCATAGAGATAGGCGCCCATAGAGATAGGCGCCCATAGAGATAGGCGCCCCTAGAGATAGGCGCCCCTAGAGATAGGCGCCCCTAGAGATAGGCGCACATATAGACAGGCGCCCCTAGAGATAGGCGCCCATAGAGATAGGCGCCCATAGAGATAGGCGCCCCTAGAGACAGGCGCCCCTAGAGATAGGCGCCCCTAGAGATAGGCGCCCCTAGGGATAGGCGCCCCTAGAGATAGGCGTCCATAGAGGCAAGCGACCCTAGAGATAGGCGTCCATAGAGGCAAGCGACCCTAGAGATAGGCGCCCCTAGAGATAGGCGCCCATAGAGATAGGCGCCCCTAGAGACAGGCGCCCCTAGAGATAGGCACCCCTAGAGATAGGCGCACCTAGAGATAGACGCCCCTAGAGATAGGCGCCCCTAGAGGTAGGCGCCGCTAGAGATAGGCGCCCCTAGAGATAGTCGCCCCTAGAGATAGGAGCCCATAGAGATATGCGCCCCTAGAGATACGCGCAATAGAGATACGCGCCCATAGAGATAGGCGCCCCTAGAGATAAGCGCCCCTAGAGATAGGTGCCCCTAGAGATAGGCGCCCATAGAGATAGGCGCCCATAGAGATAGGCGCCCATAGAGATAGGCGTTCATAGAGATAGGCGCCCAAAGAGATAGGCGCCCATAGAGATAGGCGCCCCTAGAGATTGGCGCCCTTTGAGATATGTGCCCCTAGAGATAGGCGCCCCTAGAGATCGGCACCCCTAGAGATAGGCGCCCCTGGAGATAGGCGCCCCTAGAGATAGGTGCCCCTAGAGGGAGGCGCCCCTAGAGATGGGCGCCCATAGAGAATGGCGCCTCTAGAGATTGGCGCCCCTAAAGAGAGGCGCCCATAGAGATAGGCGCCCATAGAGATAGGCGCCCCTAGAGATAGGCGGCCCTTGAGATAGACGCCCATAGAGATAGGCGCCCCTAGAGATAGCCGCCCATAGAGATAGGCGCCCATAGAGATAGGCGCCCCTAGAGATAGGCGCCCTTAGAGATAGGCGCCCATAGAGATAGGCGCCCAAAGAGATAGGCGCCTCTAGAGATTGGCGCCCCTAAAGAGAGGCGCCCATAGAGATAGGCGCACATAGAGATAGGCGCCCCTAGAGATAGGCGCCCCTAGAGATAGGCGCCCATAGAGATAGGCGCCCATAGAGATAGGCGCCCATAGAGATAGGCGCCCCTAGAGTTAGGCGCCCATAGAGATAGGCGCCCCTAGAGATAGGCGCCCATAGAGATAGGCGCCCATAGAGATTGGCGCCCATAGAGATAGGCGCCCATAGAGATATGCGCCCATAGAGATAGGCGCCCCTAGAGATAGGCGCCCATAGAGATATGCGCCCATAGAGATAAGCGCCCCTTGAGATAGGCGCCCCTAGAGATAGGCGCCCCTAGAGATAGGCGCCCATAGAGATAGGCGCCCCTAGAGATAGGCGCCACTAGAGATAGGCGCCCCTAGAGATAGGCGCCCATAGAGATAGGCGCCCAAAGAGATAGGCGCCTCTAGAGATTGGCGCCCCTAAAGAGAGGCGCCCATAGAGATAGGCGCCCATAGAGATAGGCGCACATAGAGATATGCGCCCCTAGAGATAGGCGCCCCTAAAGATAGGCGCCCCAAGAGATAGGCGTCCCTAGAGATAGGCGCCCATAGAGATAGGCGCCCATAGAGATAGGCGCCCATAGAGATAGGCGCCCATAGAGATAGGCGCCCATAGAGATAGGCGCCCATAGAGATAGGTGCCCCTAGAGATAGGCGCCCCTAAAGATAGGCGCCCATAGAGATAGGCGCCCCTAGAGATAGGCGCCCCTAGAGATAGGCCCCCATAGAGATAGGCGCCCACAGAGATAGGCGCCGCTAGAGATTGGCCCCGCTAGAGATAGGCGCCCCTAGAGATAGGCGCCCCTAGAGATAGGCGCCCCTAGAGGTAGGCACCCCTAGAGATAGGAGCCCCTAGTGATAGGCGCCCCTAAAGATAGGCGCCCCTAGATATAGGCGCCCCTAGATATAGGCGCCCCTAGAGATAGACGCCCCTAGAGATTGGCGCCCCTAGAGATAGGCGCCCATAGAGATAGGCGCCCCTAGAGATAGGCGCCCCTAGAGATAGGTGCCCCTAGAGATAGGCGCCCCTAGAGATAGGCGCCCCTAGAGATAGGCGCCCCTAAAGATAGGCGCCTCTAGAGATAGGCGCCCCTAGAGATAGGCGCCCCTAGAGATAGGCGCCCCTAGAGATAGGCGCCCCTAGAGATAGGCGCCCCTAGAGATAGGCGCCCCTAGAGATAGGCGCCCCTAGAGATAGGCGCCCCTAGAGATAGGCGCCCCTAAAGATAGGCGCCTCTAGGGGCACCTATCTCTAGGGGCGCCTATCTCTATGGGCGCCTATCTCTAGGGGCGCCTATCTCTAGGGGCGCCTATCTCTAGGGGCGCCTATCTCTAGGGGCGCCTATCTCTATGGGCACCTATCTCTCTAGGGGCACCTATCTCTAGGGGCGCCAATCTCTAGGGGCGCCTATCTCTAGGGGCGCCTATCTCTGTGGGCGCCTATCTCTAGGGGCGCCTATCTCTAGGGGCGCCTATCTCTAGGGGCGCCTATCTCTAGGGGCGCCTATCTCTATGGGCGCCTATCTCTAGGGGCGCCTATCTCTAGGGGCGCCTATCTCTAGGGGCGCCTATCTCTATGGGCGCCTATCTCTAGGGGCGCCTATCTCTAGGGGCGCCTATCTCTAGGGGCGCCTATCTCTATGGGCGCCTATCTCTAGGGGCGCCTATCTCTATGGGCGCCTATCTCTAGGGGCGCCTATCTCTAGGGGCGCCTATCTCTAGGGGCGCCTATCTCTAGGGGCGCCTATCTCTAGGGGCGCCTATCTCTAGGGGCGCCTATCTCTAGGGGCGTAAATCTCTAGGGGCGCCTATCTCTAGGGGCACCTATCTCTAGGGGCGCCTATCTCTAGGGGCGCCTATCTCTATTGGCGCCTATCTCTAGGGGCGCCTATCTCTAGGGGCGCCTATCTCTAGGGGCGCCTGTCTCTAGGGGCGCCTATCTCTAGGGGCGCCTATCTCTAGGGGCGCCTATCTCTAGGGGCGCCTATCTCTAGGGGCGCCTATCTCTAGGGGCGCCTATCTCTATGGGCGCCTATCTCTAGGGGCGCCTATCTCTAGGGGCGCCTATCTCTAGGGGCGCCTATCTCTATGGGCGCCTATCTCTAGGAGCGCCTATCTCTAGGGGCGCCTATCTCTATGGGATTAGGCGCCTCTAGAGATAGGCGCGAGGCGCCCATAGAGATAGGCGCCCATAGAGATAGGCGCCCCTAGAGATAGGCGCCCATAGAGATAGGCGCCCATAGAGATAGGCGCCCCTAGAGACAGGCGCCCCTAGAGATAGGCGCCCATAGAGAAAGGCACCTCTAGAGATAGACGCCCATAGAGATAGGCGCCCCTAGAGATAGGCGCCCATAGAGATAGGCGCCCCTAGAGATAGTCGCCCCTAGAGATAGGGGCCCCTAGAGATAGGCGCCCCTATAGATAGGCGCCTCTAGAGATAGGCGCCCATAGAGGTAGGCGCCCATAGAGATAGGCGCCCATAGAGATAGGCGCCCATAGAGATAGGTGCCTATAGAGATAGGCGCCCCTAGAGATAGTCGCCCCTAGAGATAGGGTCCCCTAGAGATAGGCGCCCCTATAGATAGGCGCCTCTAGAGATAGGCGCCCATAGAGGTAGGCGCCCATAGAGATAGGCGCCCCTAGAGATAGGCGCCCCTAGAGATAGGCGCCCATAGAGATAGGCGCCCATAGAGATAGGCGCCCCTAGAGATAGGCGCCCCTAGAGATAGACGCCCCTAGAGATAGGCGCACATATAGACAGGCGCCCCTAGAGATAGGCGCCCATAGAGATAGGCGCCCATAGAGATAGGCGCCCCTAGAGACAGGCGCCCCTAGAGATAGGCGCCCCTAGAGATAGGCGCCCCTAGAGATAGGCGCCCCTAGGGATAGGCGCCCCTAGAGATAGGCGCCCCTAGAGAGGCGCCCCTAGAGATAGGCGTCCATAGAGGCAAGCGACCCTAGAGATAGGCGCCCCTAGAGATAGGCGCCCTCAGAGATCGGCGTCCCTAGAGATGGGTGTCCATAGAGATAGGCGCGAGGCACCCATAGAGATAGGCGCCCATAGAGATAGGCGCCCCTAGAGATAGGCGCCCCTAGAGATAGGCGCCCATAGAGATAGGCGCCCATAGAGATAGGCGCCCCTAGAGACAGGCGCCCCTAGAGATAGGTGCCCCTAGAGATAGGCCCCCTTAGAGATAGGGGCCCCTAGAGATAGTCGCTCCTAGAGATAGTCACCCATAGAGATAGGCGCCCCTAGAGATAGGCGCCCCTAGAGATAGTTTCCCATAGAGATAGGCGCCCATAGAGATAGGCGCCCTTAGAGATAGGAGCCCATAGAGATAGGCGCCCCTAGAGATAGGCGCCCCCAGAGAAAGGCGCCCCTAGAGATAGGCGCCCATAGAGATAGGCGCACCTAGAGATAGGTGCCCTCAGAGATAGGCGCCCCTAGAGTTGGGCGCCCATAGAGATAGGCGCCTCTAGAGATAGGCGCGAGGTGCCCATAGAGATAGGCGCCCATAGAGATAGGCGCCCCTAGAGATAGGCGCCCATAGAGATAGGCGCCCATAGAGATAGTCGCCCCTAGAGATAGGGGCCCCTAGAGATAGGCGCCCCTAGAGATAGGCGCCCCTAGAGATAGGCGCCCCTAGAGATTGGCGCCCCTAGAGATAGGCGCCCACAGAGATAGGCGCCCCTAGAGATAGGCGCCCCTAGAGACAGGCGCCCCTAGAGATATGCGCCCATAGAGATAGGCGCCTCTAGAGATAGACGCCCATAGAGATAGGCGCCCCTAGAGATAGGCGCCCATAGAGATAGGCGCCCCTAGAGATAGTCGCCCCTAGAGATAGGGGCCCCTAGAGATAGGCGCCCCTATAGATAGGCGCCTCTAGAGATAGGCGCCCATAGAGGTAGGCGCCCATAGAGATAGGCGCCCATAGAGATAGGCGCCCATAGAGATAGGTGCCCATAGAGATAGGCGCCCCTAGAGATAGTCGCCCCTAGAGATAGGGTCCCCTAGAGATAGGCGCCCCTATAGATAGGCGCCTCTAGAGATAGGCGCCCATAGAGGTAGGCGCCCATAGATATAGGCGCCCCTAGAGATAGGCGCCCCTAGAGATAGGCGCCCATAGAGATAGGCGCCCATAGAGATAGGCGCCCATAGAGATAGGCGCCCTTAGGGATAGGAGCCCATAGAGATAGGCGCCCCTAGAGATAGGCGCCCCTGGAGATAGGCGCCCCTAGAGATAGGTGCCCGTAGAGATAGGCGCCCGTAAAGAGGGGCGCTCATAGAGATAGGCGCCTCTAGAGTTTGGCGCCCCTAAAGAGAGGTGCCCATAGAGATAGGCGCCCATAGGGATAGGCGCCCATAGAGATAGGCGCCCATAGAGATAGGCGCCCCTAGAGATAGGCGCCCCTAGAGATAGGCGCCCCTAGAGATAGGCGCACATATAGACAGGCGCCCCTAGAGATAGGCGCCCATAGAGATAGGCGCCCCTAGAGACAGGCGCCCCTAGAGATAGGTGCCCCTAGAGATAGGCGCCCCGAGAGATAGGCCCCCTTAGAGATAGGGGCCCCTAGAGATAGTCGCCCCTAGAGATAGTCACCCATAGAGATAGGCGCCCTTAGAGATAGGCGCCCCTAGAGATAGTTGCCCATAGAGATAGGCGCCCATAGAGATAGGCGCCCTTAGAGATAGGAGCCCATAGAGATAGGCGCCCCTAGAGATAGGCGCCCCCAGTGAAAGGCGCCCCTAGAGATAGGCGCCCATAGAGATAGGCGCACCTAGAGATAGGTGCCCTCAGAGATAGGCGCCCCTAGAGATGGGCGCCCATAGAGATAGGCGCCTCTAGAGATAGGCGCGAGGCGCCCATAGAGACAGGCGCCCATAGAGATAGGCGCCCCTAGAGATAGGCGCCCATAGAGATAGGCGCCCATAGAGATAGGCGCCCCTAGAGACAGGCGCCCCTAGAGATAGGCGCCCATAGAGATAGGCTCCTCTAGAGATAGACGCCCATAGAGATAGGTGCCCCTAGAGATAGGCGCCCATAGAGATAGGCGCCCCTAGAGATAGTCGCCCCTAGAGATAGGGGCCCCTAGAGATAGGCGCCCCTATAGATAGGCGCCTCTAGAGATAGGCGCCCATAGAGGTAGGCGCCCATAGAGATAGGCGCCCATAGAGATAGGCGCCCATAGAGATAGGTGCCCATAGAGATAGGCGCCCCTAGAGATAGTCGCCCCTAGAGATAGGGTCCCCTAGAGATAGGCGCCCCTATAGATAGGCGCCTCTAGAGATAGGTGCCCATAGAGGTAGGCGCCCATAGAAATAGCCGCCCCTAGAGATAGGCGCCCCTAGAGATAGGCGCCCATAGAGATAGGCGCCCATAGAGATAGGCGCCCATAGAGATAGGCGCCCTTAGGGATAGGAGCCCATAGAGATAGGCGCCCCTAGAGATAGGCGCCCCTGGAGATAGGTGCCCCTAGAGATAGGCGCCCGTAAAGAGGGGCGCTCATAGAGATAGGCGCCTCTAGAGTTTGGCGCCCCTAAAGAGAGGTGCCCATAGAGATAGGCGCCCATAGAGATAGGCGCCCATAGAGATAGGCGCCCATAGAGATAGGCGCCCCTAGAGATAGGCGCCCCTAGAGATAGGCGCCCCTAGAGATAGGCGCACATATAGACAGGCGCCCCTAGAGATAGGCGCCCATAGAGATAGGCGCCCATAGAGATAGGCGCCCCTAGAGATAGGCGCCCCTAGAGACAAGCACCCCTAGAGATAGGCGCCCCTAGAGATAGGCGCCCCTAGCGATAGGCGCCCCTAGAGATGGGCGCCCCTAGAGAGGCGCCCCTAGAGATAGGCGTCCATAGAGGCAAGCGACCCTAGAGATAGGCGCCCCTAGAGATAGGCGCCCATAGAGATAGGCGCCCCTAGAGACAGGCGCCCCTAGAGATAGGCGCCCCTAGAGATAGGCGCACCTAGAGATAGGCGACCCTAGAGATAGGCGCCCCTAGAGGTAGGCGCCGCTAGAGATAGGCGCCCCTAGAGATAGCCGCCCCTAGAGATAGGAGCCCATAGAGATAGGCACCCCTAGAGATACGCGCAATAGAGATTCGCGCCCATAGAGATAGGCGCCCCTAGAGATAAGCGCCCCTAGAGATAGGTGCCCCTAGAGATAGGCGCCCATAGAGATAGGCGCCCATAGAGATAGGCGCCCATAGAGATAGGCGTTCATAGAGATAGGCGCCCAAAGAGATAGGCGCCCATAGAGATATGCGCCCCTAGAGATAGGCGCCCATAGAGATATGCGCCTCTAGAGATAGGCGCCCCTAGAGATAGGCGCCCCTAGAGATAGGCGCCCCTAGAGATAGGCGCCCATCGAGATAGGCGCTCCTAGAGATAGGCGCCACTAGAGATAGGCGCCCCTAGAGATAGGCGCCCATAGAGATAGGCGCCCCTAGAGATAGGCGCCCATAGAGATAGGCGCCCATAGAGATAGGCGCCCATAGAGATAGGCGCCCATAGAGATAGGCGCCCCTAGAGATAGGCGCCCATAGAGATAGGCGCCCATAGAGATAGGCACCCATAGAGATAGGCGCCCCTAGAGATAGGCGCCCATATAGATAGGCGCCCAAAGAGATAGGCGCCCATAGAGATAGGCGCCCCTAGAGATAGGCGCCCATAGAGATAGGCGCCCCTAGAGATAGGCACCCCTAGAGATAGGCACCCCTAGAGATAGGCGCCCCTGGAAATAGGCGCCCCTAGAGATAGGTGCCCCTAGAGGTAGGCGCCCCTAGAGATGGGCGCCCATAGAGATTGGCGCCTCTAGAGATTGGCGCCCCTAAAGAGAGGCGCCCATAGAGATAGGCGCCCATAGAGATAGGCGCCCCTAGAGATAGGCGCCGCTTGAGATAGACGCCCATAGAGATAGGCGCCCATAGAGATAGGCGCCCATAGAGATAGGCGCCCATAAAGATAGGCGCCCCTAGAGATAGGCGCCCATAGAGATAGGCGCCCATAGAGATAGGCGCCCATAGAGATAGGCGCCCCTAGAGATAGGCGCTTCTAGAGATAGGCGCCCCTAGAGATAGGCGCCCATAAAGATAGGCGCCCATAGAGATAGGCGCCCATACAGATAGGCGCCCATAGAGATAGGTGCCCCTAGAGATAGGCGCCCATAAAGATAGGCGCCCATAGAGATAGGCGCCCCTAGAGATAGGCGCCCATAGAGATAGGCGCCCATAGAGATAGGCGCCCATAGAGCTAGGCGCCCATAGAGATAGGCGTTCATAGAGATAGGCGCCCAAAGAGATAGGCGCCCATAGAGATAGGCGCCCCTAGAGATAGGCGCCCATCGAGATATGCGCCTCTAGAGATAGGCGCCCCTAGAGATAGGCGCCCCTAGAGATAGGCGCCCCTAGAGATAGGCGCCCATCGAGATAGGCGCTCCTAGAGATAGGCGCCACTAGAGATAGGCGCCCCTAGAGATAGGCGCCCATGGAGATAGGCGCCCCTAGAGATAGGCGCCCATAGAGATAGGCGCCCATAGAGATAGGCACCCATAGAGATAGGCGGCCATAGAGATAGGCGCCCCCAGAGATAGGCGCCCCTAGAGATAGGCGCCCATAGAGATAGGCGCCCAAAGAGATAGGCGCCCATAGAGATAGGCGCCCCTAGAGATAGGCGCCCATAGAGATAGGGGCCCCTAGAGATTGCCGCCCCTAGAGATAGGCACCCCTAGAGATAGGCACCCCTAGAGATAGGCGCCCCTGGAGATAGGCGCCCCTAGAGATAGGTGCCCCTAGAGGTAGGCGCCCCTAGAGATGGGCGCCCATAGAGATTGGCGCCTCTAGAGATTGGCGCCCCTAAAGAGAGGCGCCCATAGAGATAGGCGCCCATAGAGATAGGCGCCCCTAGAGATAGGCGCCGCTTGAGATAAACGCCCATAGAGATAGGCGCCCATAGAGATAGGCGCCCATAGAGATAGGCGCCCCTCGAGATAGGCGCCCCTAGAGATAGGCGCCTATAGAGATAGGCGCCCAAAGAGATAGGCGCCTCTAGAGATTGGCGCCCCTAAAGAGAGGCGCCCATAGAAATAGGCGCACATAGAGATAGGCGCCCCTAGAGATAGGCGCCCCTAGAGATAGGCGCCCATAGAGATAGGCGCCCATAGAGATAGGCGCCCATAGAGATAGGCGCCCCTAGAGTTAGGCGCCCATAGAGATAGGCGCCCCTAGAGATAGGCGCCCATAGAGATAGGCGGCCAAAGAGATAGGCGCCCATAGAGATAGGCGCCCATAGAGATAGGCGCCCATAGAGATAGGCGCCCCTAGAGATAGGCGCCCCTAGAGATAGGCGCCCATAGAGATAGGCGCCCATAGAGATAGGCGCCCCTAGAGATAGGCGCCCATAGAGATAGGCGCCCATAGAGTTAGGCGCCCCTAGAGATAGGCGCCCATAGAGATAGGCGCCCATAGAGATAGGCGCCCATAGAGATAGGCGCCCCTAGAGATAGGCGCCCCTAGAGATAGGCGCCCCTAGAGATAGGCGCCCATAAAGATAGGCGCCCATAGAGATAGGCGCCCATAGAGATAGGCGCCCATAGAGATAGGCGCCCCTAGAGATAGGCGCCCATAAAGATAGGCGCCCATAGAGATAGGCGCCCCTAGAGATAGGCGCCCATAGAGATAGGCGCCCATAGAGATAGGCGCCCATAGAGATAGGCGCCCCTAGAGATAGGCGCCCCTAGAGATAGGCGCCCCTAGAGATAGGCGCACATATAGATAGGCGCCCCTAGAGATAGGCGCCCCGCGCCCCTAGAGATAGGTGCCCATAGAGATAGGCGCCCATAGAGATAGGCGCCTCTAGAGACAGGCGCCCCTAGAGATAGGCGCCCCTAGAGATAGGCGCCGCCCCTAGGGATAGGCGCCCCTAGAGATAGGCGCCCCTAGCGAGGCGCCCCTAGAGATAGGCGTCCATAGAGGCAAGCGACCCTAGAGATAGGCGCCCCTAGAGATAGGCGCACATATAGACAGGCGCCCCTAGAGATAGGCGCCCATAGAGATAGGCGCCCATAGAGATAGGCGCCCCTAGAGACAGGCGCCCCTAGAGATAGGCGCCCCTAGAGATAGGCGCCCCTAGGGATAGGCGCCCCTAGAGATAGGCGCCCCTAGCGAGGCGCCCCTAGAGATAGGCGTCCATAGAGGCAAGCGACCCTAGAGATAGGCGCCCCTAGAGACAGGCGCACCTAGAGATAGGCGCCCCTAGAGATAGGCGCCCCTAGAGGTAGGCGCCGCTAGAGATAGGCGCCCCTAGAGATAGTCGCCCCTAGAGATAGGAGCCCATAGAGATATGCGCCTCTAGAGATACGCGCAATAGAGATACGCGCCCATAGAGATAGGCGCCCCTAGAGATAAGCGCCCCTAGAGATAGGTGCCCCTAGAGATAGGCGCCCATAGAGATAGGCGCCCATAGAGATAGGCGCCCATAGAGATAGGCGCCCCTAGAGATAGGCGCCCATAGAGATATGCGCCCCTAGAGATAGGCGCCCCTAGAGATCGGCACCCCTAGAGATAGGCGCCCCTGGAGATAGGCGCCCCTATAGATAGGTGCCCCTAGAGGTAGGCGCCCCTAGAGATGGGCGCCCATAGAGATTGGCGCCTCTAGAGATTGGCGCCCCTAAAGAGAGGCGCCCATAGAGATAGGCACCCATAGAGATAGGTGCCCCTAGAGATAGGCGCCCTTTGAGATAGACGCCCATAGAGATAGGCGCCCCTAGAGATAGCCGCCCATAGAGATAGGCGCCCATAGAGATAGGCGCCCCTAGAGATAGGCGCCCCTAGAGATAGGCGCCCATAGAGATAGGCGCCCAAAGAGATAGGCGCCTCTAGAGATTGGCGCCCCTAAAGAGAGGCGCCCATAGAGATAGGCGCACATAGAGATAGGCGCCCCTAGAGATAGGCGCCCCTAGAGATAGGCGCCCATAGAGATAGGCGCCCATAGAGATAGGCGCCCATAGAGATAGGCGCCCCTAGAGTTAGGCGCCCATAGAGATAGGCGCCCCTAGAGATAGGCGCCCATAGAGATAGGCGCCCATAGAGATAGGCGCCCATAGAGATAGGCGCCCATAGAGATATGCGCCCATAGAGATAGGCACCCCTAGAGATAGGCGCCCATAGAGATATGCGCCCCTAGAGATAGGCGCCCCTAGAGATAGGCGCCCCTAGAGATAGGCGCCCCTAGAGATAGGCGCCCATAGAGATAGGCGCCCATAGAGATAGGCGCCCCTAGAGATAGGCGCCCACAGAGATAGGCGCCCATAGAGATAGGCGCCCATAGAGATAGGCGCCCCTAGAGATAGGCGCCCCTAGAGATAGGCGCCCCTAGAGATAGGCGCACATATAGACAGGCGCCCCTAGAGATAGGCGCCCATAGAGATAGGCGCCCATAGAGATAGGCGCCCCTAGAGACAGGCGCCCCTAGAGATAGGCGCCCCTAGAGATAGGCGCCCATAGAGATAGGCGCCCATAGAGATAGGCACCCATAGAGATAGGCGCCCCTAGAGATAGGCGCCCATAGAGATAGGCGCCCCTAGAGATAGGCGCCCATAGAGATAGGCGCCCAAAGAGACAGGCGCCCATAGAGATTGGTGCCCATAGAGATAGGCGCCCATAGAGATAGGCGCCCATAGAGATAGGCGCCCCTAGAGATAGGCGCCCATAGAGATAGGCGCCCATAGAGATAGGCGCCCCTAGAGATAGGCGCCCATAGAGATAGGCGCCCATAGAGATAGGCGCCCATAGAGATAGGCGCCCCTAGAGATAGGCGCCCCTAGAGATAGGCACCCCTAGAGATAGGCGCACATATAGACAGGCGCCCCTAGAGATAGGCGCCCATAGAGATAGGCGGCCATAGAGATAGGCGCCCCTAGAGACAGGCGCCCCTAGAGATAGGCGCCCCTAGAGATAGGCGCCCCTAGGGATAGGCGCCCCTAGAGATAGGCGTCCATAGAGGCAAGCGACCCTAGAGATAGGCGTCCATATAGGCAAGCGACCCTAGAGATAGGCGCCCCTAGAGATAGGCGCCCATAGAGATAGGCGCCCCTAGAGACAGGCGCCCCTAGAGATAGGCACCCCTAGAGATAGGCGCACCTAGAGATAGGCGCCCCTAGAGATAGGCGCCCCTAGAGGTAGGCGCCGCTAGAGATAGGCGCCCCTAGAGATAGTCGCCCCTAGAGATAGGAGCCCATAGAGATATGCGCCCCTAGAGATACGCGCAATAGAGATACGCGCCCATAGAGATAGGCGCCCCTAGAGATAAGCGCCCCTAGAGATAGGTGCCCCTAGAGATAGGCGCCCATAGAGATAGGCGCCCATAGAGATAGGCGCCCATAGAGATAGGCGTTCATAGAGATAGGCGCCCAAAGAGATAGGCGCCCATAGAGATAGGCGCCCCTAGAGATTGGCGCCCTTTGAGATATGTGCCCCTAGAGATAGGCGCCCCTAGAGATCGGCACCCCTAGAGATAGGCGCCCCTGGAGATAGGCGCCCCTAGAGATAGGTGCCCCTAGAGGGAGGCGCCCCTAGAGATGGGCGCCCATAGAGAATGGCGCCTCTAGAGATTGGCGCCCCTAAAGAGAGGCGCCCATAGAGATAGGCGCCCATAGAGATAGGCGCCCCTAGAGATAGGCGGCCCTTGAGATAGACGCCCATAGAGATAGGCGCCCCTAGAGATAGCCGCCCATAGAGATAGGCGCCCATAGAGATAGGCGCCCCTAGAGATAGGCGCCCCTAGAGATAGGCGCCCATAGAGATAGGCGCCCAAAGAGATAGGCGCCTCTAGAGATTGGCGCCCCTAAAGAGAGGCGCCCATAGAGATAGGCGCACATAGAGATAGGCGCCCCTAGAGATAGGCGCCCCTAGAGATAGGCGCCCATAGAGATAGGCGCCCATAGAGATAGGCGCCCATAGAGATAGGCGCCCCTAGAGTTAGGCGCCCATAGAGATAGGCGCCCCTAGAGATAGGCGCCCATAGAGATAGGCGCCCATAGAGATTGGCGCCCATAGAGATAGGCGCCCATAGAGATATGCGCCCATAGAGATAGGCGCCCCTAGAGATAGGCGCCCATAGAAATATGCGCCCATAGAGATAAGCGCCCCTTGAGATAGGCGCCCCTAGAGATAGGCGCCCCTAGAGATAGGCGCCCATAGAGATAGGCGCCCCTAGAGATAGGCGCCACTAGAGATAGGCGCCCCTAGAGATAGGCGCCCATAGAGATAGGCGCCCAAAGAGATAGGCGCCTCTAGAGATTGGCGCCCCTAAAGAGAGGCGCCCATAGAGATAGGCGCCCATAGAGATAGGCGCACATAGAGATATGCGCCCCTAGAGATAGGCGCCCCTAAAGATAGGCGCCCCTAGAGATAGGCGTCCCTAGAGATAGGCGCCCATAGAGATAGGCGCCCCTAGAGATAGGCGCCACTAGAGATAAGCGTCCCTAGAGATAGGCGCCCATAGAGATAGGCACCCCTAGAGATAGGCGCCCATAGAGATAGGCGCCCATAGAGATAGGCGCCCATAGAGATAGGCGCCCATAGAGATAGGTGCCCCTAGAGATAGGCGCCCCTAAAGATAGGCGCCCATAGAGATAGGCGCCCCTAGAGATAGGCGCCCCTAGAGATAGGCCCCCATAGAGATAGGCGCCCACAGAGATAGGCGCCGCTAGAGATTGGCCCCGCTAGAGATAGGCGCCCCTAGAGATAGGCGCCCCTAGAGATAGGCGCCCCTAGAGGTAGGCACCCCTAGAGATAGGAGCCCCTAGTGATAGGCGCCCCTAAAGATAGGCGCCCCTAGATATAGGCGCCCCTAGATATAGGCGCCCCTAGAGATAGACGCCCCTAGAGATTGGCGCCCCTAGAGATAGGCGCCCATAGAGATAGGCGCCCCTAGAGATAGGCGCCCCTAGAGATAGGTGCCCCTAGAGATAGGCGCCCCTAGAGATAGGCGCCCCTAGAGATAGGCGCCCCTAAAGATAGGCGCCTCTAGAGATAGGCGCCCCTAGAGATAGGCGCCCCTAGAGATAGGCGCCCCTAGAGATAGGCGCCCCTAGAGATAGGCGCCCCTAGAGATAGGCGCCCCTAGAGATAGGCGCCCCTAGAGATAGGCGCCCCTAGAGATAGGCGCCCCTAAAGTTAGGCGCCTCTAGGGGCACCTATCTCTAGGGGCGCCTATCTCTATGGGGGCCTATCTCTAGGGGCGCCTATCTCTAGGGGCGCCTATCTCTAGGGGCGCCTATCTCTAGGGGCGCCTATCTCTATGGGCACCTATCTCTCTAGGGGCACCTATCTCTAGGGGCGCCAATCTCTAGGGGCGCCTATCTCTAGGGGCGCCTATCTCTGTGGGCGCCTATCTCTAGGGGCGCCTATCTCTAGGGGCGCCTATCTCTAGGGGCGCCTATCTCTATGGGCGCCTATCTCTAGGGGCGCCTATCTCTAGGGGCGCCTATCTCTAGGGGCGCCTATCTCTATGGGCGCCTATCTCTAGGGGCGCCTATCTCTAGGGGCGCCTATCTCTAGGGGCGCCTATCTCTATGGGCGCCTATCTCTAGGGGCGCCTATCTCTATGGGCGCCTATCTCTAGGGGCGCCTATCTCTAGGGGCGCCTATCTCTAGGGGCGCCTATCTCTAGGGGCGCCTATCTCTAGGGGCGCCTATCTCTAGGGGCGCCTATCTCTAGGGGCGCCAATCTCTAGGGGCGCCTATCTCTAGGGGCACCTATCTCTAGGGGCGCCTATCTCTAGGGGCGCCTATCTCTATTGGCGCCTATCTCTAGGGGCGCCTATCTCTAGGGGCGCCTATCTCTAGGGGCGCCTGTCTCTAGGGGCACCTATCTCTAGGGGCGCCTATCTCTAGGGGCGCCTATCTCTAGGGGCGCCTATCTCTAGGGGCGCCTATCTCTAGGGGCGCCTATCTCTATGGGCGCCTATCTCTAGGGGCGCCTATCTCTAGGGGCGCCTATCTCTAGGGGCGCCTATCTCTATGGGCGCCTATCTCTAGGAGCGCCTATCTCCAGGGGCGCCTATCTCTATGGGCGCCTATCTCTATGGGCGCCTATCTCTAGGGGCGCCTATCTCTAGGGGCGCCTATCTCTCTAGGGGCGCCTATCTCTATGGGCGCCTATCTCTATGGGCGCCTATCTCTGGGGGCGCCTATCTCTGTGGGCGCCTATCTCTAGGGGCGCCTATCTCTAGGGGCGCCTATCTCTATGGGCGCCCATCTCTAGGGGCACCTATCTCTAGGGGCGCCTATCTCTATGGGCGCCTATCTCTAGGGGCGCCTATCTCTAGGGGCGCCTATCTCTAGGGGCGCCTATCTCTATGGGCGCCTATCTCTAGGGGCGCCTATCTCTAGGGGCGCCTATCTCTAGGGGCGCCTATCTCTCTATTGGCGCCTATCTCTAGGGGCGCCTATCTCTAGGGGCGCCTATCTCTATGGGCGCCTATCTCTGTGGGGGCCTATCTCTATGGGCGCCTATCTCTAGGGGCGCCTATCTCTAGGGGCGCCTATCTCTAGGGGCGCCTATCTCTCTATTGGCGCCTATCTCTAGGGGCGCCTATCTCTAGGGGCGCCTATCTCTATGGGCGCCTATCTCTGTGGGGGCCTATCTCTATGGGCGCCTATCTCTATTAGGCGCCCCTAGAGATAGGCGCCCCTAGAGATAGGCGCCCCTAGAGACAGGCGCCCCTAGAGATAGGCGCCCCTAGAGATAGGCGCCCCTAGAGATAGGCGCCCCTAGAGATAGGCGCCCCTAGAGATAGGCGCCCCTAGAGATAGGCGCCCCTAGAGATAGGCGCCCCTAGAGATAGGCGCCCCTAGAGATAGGCGCCCCTAGAGATAGGCGCCCCTAGAGATAGGCGCCCCTGGAGATAGGCGCCCCTGGAGATAGGCGCCCCTCGAGATAGGCGCCCCTAGAGATAGGCGCCCCTAGAGATAGGCGCCCCTAGAGATAGGCGCCCCTAGAGATAGGCGCCCCTAGAGATAGGCGCCCCTAGAGATAGGCGCCCCTAGAGATAGGCGCCCCTAGAGATAGGCGCCCCTAGAGATAGGCGCCCCTAGAGATAGGCGCCCCTAGAGATAGGCGCCCCTAGAGATAGGCGCCCCTAGAGATAGGCGCCCATAGAGACAGGCGCCCCTAGAGATAGGTGCCCCTAGAGACAGGCGCCCCTAGAGAAAGGCGCCCACAGAGATAGGCGCCCCTAGAGATTGGCGCCCCTAGAGATAGGCGCCCCTAGAGATAGGCGCCCCTAGAGAGTGTTAACGGGAATGGAGTGTTGGCCCCGCCCTCGCTTGGGCAACGCCGACGACTTGGTCGGATGCACGGGAGTAGCAGCCGACTGTTCACAGTGGGATAGATGCTCGACAGGTTACTTCGAGCGGCAGCGGACCGCTGTGGTGTTGCTGTCGACCAGGATGCTCGACAGCTGCAACTGACTGGCCTGGGCGACGGGCGAGCCGTCCGGGAGGTCGACGAAGTAGTCCGTTGACCTACAGTTCGACGGGGAAGTCTACAGAGCATTCCGTCGAACTGCAGTTCGACCGGGAGGTCGACGGAGCAGTTCTGGTCGACGGAAGGGGTCCGTCGACCAAGGGGTAGCATGACGGGAGGTGTGGTCGACCAGGAGCATCCGGTGGTCGACCAGAGAGACCCAGTGGTCGACGGGAGGCACGTGGGAGTCGACCAGAGCACCAGGGGTCGACCAGGTCGACCGGGTAACCTGCTCGACGACTTC